AACAAGAACGCTTAAGTTGGTGGCTTAGTGAGCAGTTTATCCCCCCCCCCCGCTCCCCCCCCCATACACACACCTCAAAGAGTTCAAGGCACCTGGGAACTGACCTCTCCTACCTGCTTGTCCCAAGATGTGACAGAGTGGTGATGTGGATGGAAAGGTAGCTTAGTAGTTAATCCTTGCACAGCGTGTGTGAGTCTCTGGGCTTGACCCCAGCACCACCATACATGCACGCGCACACACGCGTGCTCAGTTACTGAGTCGATGTGGATGGACGGGCTCAGGGAGGCAAGAAGTCTTACCCTAAAGGACCCTGGCTCAAGAAGCTGGTCAAGCCACGTTCTTTAAGACAAGGGTTACCATTCAGAGAGAAATGGTTTCTCTCTATATAGAGCCTCCGTTTCTTTCTTTTATTTATTTATTTATTGGTCTTTCGAGACAGGGTTTCTCTGTAGCTGTGGAGCCTGTCCTGGAACTAGCTCTTGTAGAACAGGCTGGCCTCAAACTCACAAAGATCCGCCTGCCTCTACCGCTGGGATTCTTCATGGTTCTTATCATGTAGCTTCCTCCTGAACTTATTTCTAAAGTAAAGAGCTCCACGTGGGAGGTCAAAAGACCTTTAAGGTGGAGGGATTATTAGACGACTGGGGGAGGGGGGACTGGGAAGGAGCTAGAGAAGTGATGGGAGGTGGGGCAGACAGCGTATACCAACCAGTAAAAACAAGCAGCACCAGAGGTTCAAGTATCAGTCTCCATCTTGTACCATGGACTACTAGGAGGAAAGGTATATTTTTCTAAATGTCACCAGCGAAGCAGAGTAAATAATAGGTAGGTTCCAATACCCAAGACACCCGAGAACTGACAGAGCCTCAAGGAAAATCTCACTATAGATATTTAGGGGCTACCTACCAGTTAGACAAGTATTGATTATATATTGTGTACTTGATACGCTGTGGCCTTGGCACTCTGAGGGGGCACTGTTGGGAACATTGGGATTGGGGGGCATTGTCCGTGCCTTTGGTATTTACAGTTCACAAGACTAATTACATGAACCCCTAAACCATGTCATATAGATTGGGGAAAACTGGAAAACAGATGAAAAAATACTAGACAAGAAATTTGGGTATGGGGGATAAGCAAACACTTTTTTATTAAAAGGCATAGGATTTAAGCTTGGCCTCCAGTAGAATTTTGAGAGGGAAATGTCTTCCTAGGAAAGAGGGACAGAGAAATTACACCTCATGAAAGTATTGTGTGTGTCCCCATTGGCAGAAAGAAGACTGGGATTTTTTTCCTTCTGGTGTTTTGAGAAAGGGCCTCACTCTATAACTCTGGTTGTCCTGGAACTTGGATCTGTAGACCAGACTGGCCTTGAACTCACAGAGATCCCCTCTCTGCCTCTAGAGTTCTAGAATTAAAGGCCTGGCTTGGGATCTCAGTCTTAGAGAGTTATCTGGCTGACCTAAAGGGGTCTAGAGAAGAAAGGAGTACCAGCTGAACTGAACTTCTAGCCCTTTAAGCTTATTCAGAGAACCAGCCAAGGACAGGTCATACCCAGGCTGGTATGGCCACCATCCTGTACCCTCCACCATCTTGTATCCTCTACCCAAGCCTGCACATCAGGAAAAGAATGGTACTATGGAATGCTTTTTCCCAACTGAGTCTATTTTTTCCAAGGTCGAGTACTCCCCCGAGCCCACCAACCCAACCCTACACCCAGAGATCTGAAAGGAGCTATTCTAGAGTAGATAGCTGCTCTCCCTGGAGATTAGGTTGTTACTTTGTCTCCCTGTGAGAAGTCTGGGGGAGACATTGAGCTTGGGAAATGTGTATTTCTCCCCTGATTTGACTTTTGAGTCTTCTGCTGCTGTGTCCCAGCCTCCCCTTAGATAGGACTACTGGCTACCAACCTCCCCTACACATACCTCATGCCTCTTTTCTACACCTCTGTCCCATCCAGAACTCCATCCGTCACAACCTGTCCTTGCACAGCAAGTTCATCAAGGTTCACAACGAGGCCACTGGCAAGAGCTCCTGGTGGATGCTGAACCCCGAGGGTGGCAAGGGTGGCAAGGCGCCCCGCCGCAGGGCTGCCTCCATGGATAGCAGCAGCAAGCTGCTCCGGGGTCGCAGCAAAGGCCCCAAGAAGAAGCCATCGGTCCTGCCAGCTCCACCTGAAGGTGCCACTCCAAGGAGCCCTCTAGGCCACTTTGCCAAGTGGTCAAGCAGCCCTTGTTCTCGAAACCGCAAAGAAGCTGATGTGTGGACCACTTTCTGTCCACGAAGCAGTTCAAATGCTAGCACTGTTAGCACCCGACTGTCCCCAATGGGGCCAGAGTCTGAGGTGCTAGCAGGAGAGGAAATGCCAGCCTCAGCCAGCAGCTACTCGGGGGGTGTTCCTCCCCCCCTCAGTGAAGATCTAGAGCTGCTGGATGGGCTCAATCTTGCGTCTCCCCATTCCCTGCTGTCTAGGAGCAGTCTGCCTGGCTTCTCGTTGCAACATCCTGGGCTTGCTGGCCCCTTACATAGCTATGGTGCCTCTCTCTTTGGCCCAATAGATGGGTCTTTGTCAGCAGGAGAAGGGTGCTTTTCAAGCTCCCAGTCTCTAGAGGCCTTGCTCACCTCTGATACACCACCACCTCCTGCTGATGTTCTCATGACCCAGGTAGATCCTATTCTGTCTCAGGCTCCTACACTTCTGTTACTGGGAGGAATGCCTTCCTCTAGCAAGCTGGCTACTGGAGTTAGCCTATGTCCTAAGCCGCTAGAGGGTCCAGGTCCCAGTAATGTGGTTCCCAACCTTTCTGTGATGGCACCACCTCCAGTCATGGCAGAGGCTCCCATCCATAAGGCCCTGGGGACCCCTGTGCTCTCATCTCCTACTGAAGCTACCAGCCATGACAGAATGCCTCAGGATCTAGATCTTGATATGTATTTGGAGAACCTGGAGTGCGACATGGATAACATCATTAGTGACCTCATGGATGGCGAGGGACTGGACTTCAACTTTGAGCCAGGTATAGCAGCCCCTGATCACTACTGCATCTCTGTTCTTGAATGCTCAGCTAATTCTATGATCTGAGCCAGAGGGAGCATTAGAGCTGATAACAGGTGTTCCTGGAGAGTTGGAGGGAGGATGGCATATTAGCTAGCATCACTTCTAAGTGGGACTTCCTGGCTCCTCATCACAGAAGGGGGAGGTGTGCGGAGGGAGAGAAGGAAGTATCTGCTTGGTATAAGTCTGGATGGTGCCCCCAAATGAATCTTTTATCTTGTCCTCCGTTTCTTTTTTTTCCAACAGATCCCTGAGTCACAACCAGAAGCTTTGTCCCCTGCTTCAGAGGTGGAGCCCGGCCTGTCCTTACCTACCCACTTTTTCCCCTTGAGCCCTCACCTAGAATTTGGAACCCTGCTTTCTAGCTAGGGTTAGGAGGTCACACACATGAGTGCTGAGGGAATCATAAGGCTAAAGCTATGGCATGTAGGGATTGTGGAGGAGGGCGATGGGAGGAGAAAGGGGAGAGGGCTTATTCTCACTGTGCCAATTAGGGGGCAATTATGGCCCTTTCTCAGGAGCCATCATTGATTTCCCCATTCCCACCTCCTAGGCCTTGTAGCAGGGGCTAGCAATGCTGTTAGAACTGTGAAGTCACCAGTGGCCTTATTACCCCTGCCTTTGGGAGCAGGATTTTTTTTCTTTTTTTTTTCTTTTCTTTTTTTTTTTTTTTTTTTTTTTTGTAGAGAGTCTTACTAGAGCCGAGCCAGGCCAGGTTGGGCCTGGATTTTTATGCAGTGGGGTGGGGGTGGGGGGTTAGGGGACCTAGAAAGGCCAAGTTTTGAGCACTGGAGTGGCTCACCAGGCCAAATCACTTTTGGAAGGATACAGATAACAGACAGGCTTTTTATAAACTTTTAAAGAAATATAAACACAAATATAGAGATTTTTAACAGTGGTGAGGTGCTAGTAATGGGGAGAATGCTTTTTTTTTTCTTTCTGAAGGCTTTGGCATAGTGACATGATACAAACACTACAAATTCTAGGAGGGAGACACAGGAAGCTGGGGAGAGGTGGGTAGCAAAGGCGACTGGAGGGAAACCCTCCCTTTTGGACCAGGTCTAGAAAAAGTTGCATGCATATTTAGGTTAGAGTTTAAGGAAAGAAACCTAAGGCAAGCCCCTGCATCCTCTCCACTTGTGCCTAGAAGGTCCTGTTGTGGAGTGGGCACTCTGTCTGACTACCAGAGAGCATCCGAGGCCAGAAATTGGCTTAGGGCCTGGGAGGGGCGTGAAAGAAGGAAGGATTTAGGGTAGTAAAGTTAGGTACAGAGACCTCCCTGTTCAAGGCTTGGGACAGCTGTCCCTGCCCTTCTTCCCAGTCATGGACTGCCAAGGTTCTGTGGAAGACTGTGTGGTGGCAGGCTGGGCTGTGGAGAGGAACAGGGAAGGGGGAGCTTGGGGAGTTTGGCTGAGGGTCTGGGAAATGAGCAGGGATGGGGGGAATGTGGATCAGGTTTACTAGCACCTGCCAGAGAGGCCATCTGGGGCTCCTCCACCCCAGCCCCCAAGCAGCCCCTCCCCCTAGTGTCCTTTGCATTGTCCCCTCCCCCACCCCTGCTGTGGGTTCCCATCATTTCCTGTGTCAGCGCCTGGCCTACCCAGATTGTATCATGTGCTAGGTTGGAGTGGGGAAGTGTGTCAAATCAATAAATGAGTTCAATAAATGTCTATAATCAGATCTGGTTTCTGCAGCCTTGCTGCCCCACTCCAATATAGGGGAGGGAGGGAGGCGGAAAAGCAAAGGGCAGTTAGTTGAAGGGCGGGTGGGGAGGGACTGCCCACAGGCTGGGAGGTGGGGGAATTTCAGCCTGGGAGGTAATGGAGTGTGGTGGGGGAGGGACACCTAACCCCAGCAGGAGTGGGCGGCTGCGAGATAGGCCTCCCCGGAGGGGAGGTAGTCTGGTTTGAGAAGACCCCACCCCCTTCTCTGGCCCTCAAAGGCTCATTGTACTAAAAGTCTAGTAACCAGACTTCACAGTCATTCCTCACCCCCCACCCCACAAGTGTTCACTCCAGCCCTCTGTTGTCGCTCAGGTCCACCCTCAGCGTCCCTGGTGCCTACTGAAGCCTTTGTGCAGATATGGGGAGAAGGAGTCTTTCTAGAAAAAGAAGGCCTCACATAAAATTCCACTAATTTCATGCTCTCCCCTGGTAGTTGCTGCTCTCAGTTGGTCATTTATTGAGTTAACGATGTCTCTTGAGAAAGTCTGCTCTAGTCTTATAGAATGGTCTGCGGGTGGGAGCTGGCCCATCTTCATCTGATCGTCCAGCTTTAGACTAGAAAAGAGAAATAAAGCTATTAATATCGAGGCTCTGCAGGAAAGGTTTCTACTGTCTAGGGCCGAAGGAAGGAGAAGAGAGGTTGGAGTCAGGTGATGAACATAGACATGAGATTTAGACAGGAAATTCTGAGGGGTCAGCAGGGCACAAACCTTCTGTTGACTGCTTTGACTAGCGCTCTGCTGGGTTCCACCACCCTTGGGGGATCTTGCTGGAAGATTTACGGAGGATTCCATGGCTGCCAATCTCTTAGCCTCTAGAGTTCTAAGCATCTTTATTCGGCTTCTCTCCAGGAAGTCACATTGTGTGCGCAGGGACTCTAGAAAACAAGAAAAAGCAGCATCACCTCTGAGGAAGAGATATGGAACCCACCATGACCCTCCATCATTCCGTTGATTAGTCAGGGTAACTTGACCTACAGAGGAAGTGAGGAGAGGGTGGTGTTTGGCTGGCTCCCACAGGTGGTTGGGAAATGGAAAAGACGACAAGGACATGGGGGAAGGAGTGACATGTATAGTTAGTTTAAACTAGACAACCCCCTAAAGAGTTGACCTAGACCCTTGTCCCCCTTTTCCTAAGCTCCTATGATCCCACCTACCCCAGTGTGCTAGCCCCACCCCCACATTCATACTCTCCCTTCCCTGATAGACTTCTCCACATCCAGCCTCGGCTGCCTTTACCTCAAAATCCTCTGGAGTATCAGGGTTACCAGTGTTGGTACTATGCCCAGCACACAGCTACATACACAGCTTCCTATGCCCTTCCTCCCCCATCACATGCCTTACCAACTAGTTCAGGTTCTGGATTCTTCAAGAGGGGCACAACAGCTTTGTAGGAATTCTCGATCCTGGTGCCTGTAAACATAGCATTGTGCTATTTCCAGCCCCTGAGACATACCAAGTTTCTATCCTTTTTTTGGCTTTTTGAGACAGGGCTTTTCTGTAGCTTTGGAGCCTGTCCTGGAACTTGTTCTGTAGAACAGACTGGCCTCGAACTCACAGAGATTCGCCTGTCTATGCCTCCCTAGTGCTGGGATTAAAGGCATGCACCACCACTGCTCAGCAAGTCTGACTTTTTGAAGCCCATTATTTCAGGATTCTTCACTAAATATTTACTTGAGCTCGTGCACATTTCCCTCCCCTTTGGCATAAACCTACAAAAACCGTAGGATGAAGTAGGGCGACATGATATATACATGAACCTAACCTACTGCCATCAAAGCAATGTCCCTTCTTTGAGCTGATTAGACATGGTCAATTTGGATCTGATTAAGGATACCCTATTTTATTTACTAATTTGTTGTCGGGGGGGGGGGGGGGATAGGATTTCATATAGCCCAAGTCCACTTTGAACACCCAATGTTCCTGGCTCCAACCTGTGGGTGTTTTCTGAGGCAGTGTCTTGCTATATGGCCCAAGCTGGCCTCCAACTCTCAATCCTCCTTACCTCAGTTTCTAAAGAATGTATTTATGTTGTGTGGTGGTTAGCAGGGGCAGGCAGGGAACTAGAGAACTATGCGAGTTCCAGGACAGCCAGAGCTGTTACAGAGAGAAACTGTGTCTCAGAAAAAGAAAAAAAAGAATGTATTTATTTTGAGGCAGGGTCTTATGAAACCCAGGCTGTCCTCACAGTTACTGTATGGTTAAAGATGACCTCAAACTTCTGATTCTCCTGTCCCCACCTCCCAAGTGCTAGGATTATAGGCATGCTCCACCACATAGAGTGTGTGCTGGGGATGGGACCCAGAACTTCATGCATGCTAGGTGAGCACTCTGCCAACTCAACTGAGCTACATTCCAGCCAGCCCTGCTTTATGTTTGTTGCTGTTGGCGTGTGTGTGTGTGTGTGTGTGTGTGTGTGTGTGTGTGTGTGTGTGTGTGGTGGTGTTTGGAATGAGATTGTGCTATGAAGCCCAGGCTGCCCTGAATTGAATTTATAATCCTTCTGCCTTCCCCGAGTGCTGGGATTACTAGAGAAAGGGGCCTTATTTTAATCCCTTTTGTGGGTCTCTATGGCGAATACCCCAAGCCTCTACCTGCAGCTCCACGCTCTACTTTACAAACGTAGTAGGTATTTCGTGCTGAAAGGAATTTGCTGGCGTAGTCCCCAGGTGTCTTTGTTAAGAAAAGTAACTTCATGGTCCCAGTTTCATCACACAAATCGATGGTGTCTAAAGGAAGGCCACGGGGTAATTGAGACAAGTAAGAAGAGAGAACGCGAGTAAAAAGGGCTAGTGACCCAGTACAGAATGGGCTGGAGTTGAGGAGGGCTCAGGGATATGAGGATAGTTCTTGTTGCTGGGAGGAAAGTTTAGATGCCAGAGTCAGCTTATGGCTTCTGACCTTCAGCCGCTGCTCCTCCCCAAAGTACTTACCTGTTTTACGCAACCCCATTTTCTTTCTAATGTAATGTAGCAACAGGAGAACAGAGCAGTTGCTGTTGACCAGAAACTCTTGGTTATCTAGAAGAGATGGGACAGAGGTATGCGGGCCCTTCTCTGGGTCCATCCCCTCTGTGATCTCTGCCGTCCTCAGCCCTCCCCAGGTCCATGTCCAGACTTGCTCTGTGCTTGTCCCTCACCTCCATGTTTGATGAAGATAAACATGCTATCAAGATCATCTCACTCTTCAAAGATCTCCTGGTGAGTCATGCAGAGGGCAGGTGTTCTAGTGGCCCCAGGCACCTGAGAGTGCCCATAGGGTTGGATGACCAAAGGGGCAGGTGTTTCTTACAAGGTGAAGAAGGCCCAGACCGGGCAGACAAGAGAGTGCTTTTGGCAGCTAGGGATGATCAGCATCTGGAGGGGTGGGGTCTGAGGCTGCAGCTGGAGGATTGTGAGGTCAGAAGGGGCACACAGACTAGGTGAAATGTGACCAAGAGGCGAAGACACTGGCTGGAATCTGTAAAAGAACTCTGAGGAGCTGGAACAACACGGCAAATGCAACTCTAAACTGGCCCCCAGAATAAGCCCAGAAATTTAGCAGAGAGAAGTAAGTTAGAAGAACAGTCCTCCCTTTCGTTACTTTGTAGCGCTCTTGCTCTGTACTACCATTGTCTTTTTTTCCCTACCCTTACACCATCCCTCCCAACTCCATGCTTCCCCTGCTTCCGGACCCCACAACAGACATTTCCGATGATCATTGGTAGAAACTTTATTTCTTGTTGGTTCCTGAACAATTGAATGGTAGGTGGGAAAGGGGAGAAAGGATCCTGTAACAGAGAAGGGCCATGCTGGGCATGGTCGTACATGCAGATAACCGGCACACTCTGGAGGCTGAGGTGGGAGGGTTGCCTGAGTTATAGGCCAACCTAGCCTACATAGTGAGTCCCCAGCCACCCAGGGTTATAGGGTAAGACTGTCCCCAAAAACAGGGGAAGGTGCCAGAAGGGGGTGGGGGTGGGGCTTGCGCAGGGAAAGGGGGCTAGGGGCATTTCTCAAGTAGGGCATATTGAGTGGACAAGCAGCTATATGGGGGCATGAAATTGAAATTTAGCCACAGGGAGGAAGCAATGGGCATTGGATTCAGACTGGCAAGATGAGCAGGGGGAAGTTAGCATCACTTAGGGTTCCATCAAGGGATTGAGTCTTAGGCTTCAGGCTTCAGAGAATAACATGGAGGAGGCCAGTAGGGGCTATGCAGACTGCAAGGAGACCCTCCAGGCCCCTCTCCTAGGGCCCCTCCTTTGGGAGGAATCTCACTGACGAGGCAGAACCGTTCACTGTAATCTGGCTGCAGACTCTCAGTCAGCCCTTTAGACACACCACTCCAGGCCTAAAGACAGATATCCCCAGGTCAGAGGTCAATTAAAGACAGGAAGCAAAAGACCCATGCTTAGGGCCAAAGGAGCCCTCACAACTCTGCAACCATTGTGATTACAGAAAGGATACCCAAGTTCCAGGGCCCCTAATACCACAGTTGCCACCTGCATCACAAATCTCTTTTGCTCTGTCTCTTTGCCTAGCCCACCCTCCACTTGGTCAGCCACATCCTGATGATGCAGGCCCCCTCCTGCCTCCACTCTGCCCCCCTCACAGTCTGTCTCGCTAGCTGCTAGCTGGCAATTGGCAGCTGATAGCCTGCAGTATGCATATGGCAGTGTTCTCACCGAAAAGTTCCCGTTGTATTCAGTAACCAGATCCTCTAGATTCTTGATGGTGGGAATTCGAGGCATTGCCCTGAGCAGAAAGAGGGGGGAGCAGAAGCATTAAATTAAAGCTCCTTTATGACCCTGCATTCAACTGGTCAGCGTGGAACCTATAGCTTCCTCTCCAAGCCCTCATCATAGCTCTTGATGCTCTACCTCTGCCAATCCTGAAATAACCCCTCCACCCCCCACCTCATTTTCAGGGCTTCCTGAACTCTCACCGTTCCAGCCAACAATACACAAAGATCAGGGTAATAATCAATCCCATGGAGCCAACAGGGATGAGCACAGCTTCCAGGGCAAACACGGAAGGATTCTCTGTAGAAGAAAAGGAAAGGAAAATGAGCCTTGCGTTTGTGGCACTCATAAGACATGGATGCCAGGCACCCTGCCAAACACACTCCTTATGCTTACTTTCTCCACAGCTCCTGAAAGGGAGGAACAGTGTTTATCTACATTTTACAGACGGATAAACCAAATCAAAGAGGTCAGCCCTGATCCAAGGGCATCTCCACTATGCAGATTCTATGGAATGCTGTCCAGACCTCCTACACATTCCATATTCCCTTTGAGCACCCTTTGGCCTCCTTGGGGAGCCACTCGCCTACTCTGGCTGCACCCCTTCTCATCCCTACATAGAAAACGCTGCTTCATAATGATTGAGTTTGAACAGTGGGTGGAGGTAGAGGCTTAGGAATAGCGAGATAAAGCAAACAATAGTGGTAGTGTGTTACAAAGGTTGGGATACTGGGTTTATGATTTAAGGGTCATGTATTTGGGTCACTTTACCCTTTGCCGTTTGGCTTCCCCAGTGAATAGGTTGGCTCCATTTACTCCAGTGTTGAGCACTTCCACAGAGTGGGTTAAAGCGGCTCCGAACCCGGAATGTGTACAGTTTCTGCCCATCCACACTAGGCAGGGAGAATCTAGGGTTCTGATCCACTATTTGTTCCTGGGGAGAAGAAGGATGGGGGAAAGATGGTTGTCTATAAAGGAAGAGAGAATGGAAACATTCTTGCCTATACCTTAATGTCATCTTCTGATTCTTCCAATTTATCTTCGGGTTCTTCTGACTTCTGGTTCTTTCCAGTTCCAGGAAAACAAAACAAGAAACTGGTTCTGGTTCCTCCCAGGTTTACTTCGCTTCTTTCCTGACTACTCACAACGCGCTGGTCCCTTTTCTAACTTGGCTCAGAAGTGGATCTCCCCTCCAGATCCACTCACTGTCTCCCTCATGTCTGCATCAGGAAGAGGACGGGTGGGAGAGTCAGAGCGAAAGCTCACTGACGGTGATAGAAGAAATGAAGCCAGGCGGTGGTGGTGTACGCCTTTGACCCCAGCACCCAGGAGGTAGAGGCAGGTGAATCTCAGTGAGTTCGAGGCCAGCCTGGTCTCGGAAAACCAAAGGCAAAAAGAGAAAGAAAGTATGGCTAGAGGAGCTGGGAGGCAGAGAACTGGAGCTTAGCATTAGGTCCTTCTATCTGGCTAGTTGAGTCCTTTCTCCTCTCTTGCTTGGCCTTAGCTACCGCATCCACACCCGCAAGTCTCTCACCGTCCAGCTTCGATCTCTGTCACTCCGGTACTGCACCAAGTGTTGCAAACAGTGTTCCGTGTATGTGCTTTTCCAGCTCAGCTCTAGCTGGGATTCACTCAGGTTGTAAAGTGTTAGATTCTCTGGAGCCCATGGGATCACTGGAGATATGTGTGCGTGTGGTCATTGCCCTGGCCTAGACAAGTCAGGATCTTGGAGGTAATTCTCCTTATCCCTCCCCCTCCCCCATCCCAAACCCCTATCTTCTCCCTTCTGCCCATGGCCAACAACGAGGAAGGAAAAAAAATCCTTAAAGTTCAGTGCCCTCAAACTCCCTGGCCTCTTGGTTACTTCTTTCCTGATTACCAAGATTCTGCAGGTTTAGCTTCTGTTCAGCCTGCCTCTGGGGTCTCCGGGGGTCCTGGAGCTGGACCACAAATGTCTGGTAGAGCTGGATCTCCTCTTTTTGTATCTGACAGCCGGAAGTAATCTCTTCTGAGAACAGATAGTGGCGACACTCCCGGAATTTATTATCAAATCTCTGGTACCTAGAGAACGGTTATAAGAAAGAAGGATGACGGGTCAAACGTGGGCGCTGCATACATCCATAGCCTAGCCTCATCTCATAGGAACTGACAACTTAGCCCATGAGAAACCAGTATGGTGCCTGAGAAGCTGGCTACCCTCTTTTTGGATTCCCATGCAGTCTCTCTCAGCTAGTCCACCTTCTTTTCTTTCCTGTGCTACCCACCCTCCCTTCTCATACCTATAGTGCAGAGTCAGGTTGGTTGGCTGGGGCTCAGAACTGCTATTCCAAGTACAATTCATATACTCGACATTGAACACGAAGCATTGAACCTCTGGGAGGGGCCGAGGAGGAACACTGATGTGTCCATGGAAGAAACCTAATTTGGGAACAAAATGAAGTAGTGGAGTAGAAGAAAAGAAATCCTGATCAGGAGAAGCAGAGTGAGGCAGAGAGCCCTTTCCTAGGCCCTCCCCGCTCTACTCTTTAGAGTCATTATAATGGCCACTATCAGGCTCCAGATTTCTTCCATACAGTCCTTTCCCCATAGCCTTTCTCCTCTCAACAACCCCCTCTGGTCCTAGATTTCCTACCAGTTTTGGTGTCTTCATTTCCACTGGGCATGAGAACCTTGGAGCTCCACCCTTCCCCTAGCAGGAGCAGCTGAAGCAGTAAGAAGGATCTAGGTGGCAATAATGGTTTCAACATGGCGCTTGCTCCTCTTTCTCTCGGTGTAGTGGTGTAGTCTGTGTGGTTTGAACTGGTTTCTGAAAACCCCGCCCCACCCATACATTTCCTTTTGTCGTAGCATCCGGTGGAAAGAACCTTAGAAACCACGTCTGTGGGGGGTGGGGTGGTAAATGAGTTCAGTGACATAGGCTAAGTCCTCTGGGAAATTGGGTTCTGCTGCAAGGTGATGTTAGGTCAAGATTAATACTTGATCAACAACAGTGTTGCAGAGTTAAGAATCTTCAGGCCACCTAGGTCAAAGAAGGGGCTGCTGAATCCCCACCCCCCACTACACTCCATCATTCCCAATCACCTTCTCCACTAAGTTATCTTTTAGAGTAGAGGGCCTGAACACCCCTCATTCTGTGTTATGATCCTTCCTTGACTAAGTCACCCTTAAACCTCTATCAAAGTTCTACAGTCTTGGGAGGGTGGAAAATGCTGGCTTGATTCATGTGGGCACATATATAGCTGTTTTTCCTCTGACCTAACCTGAACTAGAATAGCCACCCCTGGCTGTTGCCTGAGCTTGGTCCCTCTTAACACTGCTAGAGCTGGCTTCTCAAATGAAGGAACAACAGTACTAGCTTCAGGCTCCTCCATTCCCTGCACATCTGCTTCTCTTCCTGTCTTTCTTGTCCTGGTTAAAGGTATCATCACCTGCCAAATTTGA